CTAATATGGTGAAACCCCATCTCTACTGAAAATACAAAAATTAGCCGAGTATGGTGCATGTGGCTGTAGCCATGTACTCAGGAGGCTGAGGCACAAGAATCGCTTTAACCCAAGAGGCAAAGGCTGCAGTGAACCGAGATCATGCCACTGCACTCCCGCCTGGGCAACAGAGCGGGACTCCGTCTCAAAAAGAAAAAGAAAAGAGAAAAGTATACCCTGAAAATACTAAATTTGTCTAATACGGGGTTCAGGCAAACAATCTATTACATAAAAGAACTCAAAGACTATAATACCCATAGTTCTTTGCTACCTATCTATTACTACTCACTGAAAACTTTTCAGTAAGTTGAAAGATGGAGAAAACTTGGTAAATGGGTGGCATGAAGAATGAACCCATCTAAATACTTACCTAAAGGCCAGGTGCGGTGGCTCACACCTGTAATCCCAACACTTTGGGAGGGTAAGGTAGGTGGATCACTTGAGGTCCAGAGGTTGAGACCAGCTGGCCAACATGACAAAACCACATCTCTAGTAAAAATACAAAAATTAAGGCCGGGCGCAGTGGCTCAAGCCTGTAATCTGAGCACTCTGGGAGGCCAAGGCGGGTGGATCACGAGGTCAAGAGATCGAGACCATCCTGGTCAACATGGTGAAACCCCATCTCTACTAAAAATACAAAAAATTAGCTGGGCATAGAGGCATGTGCCTGTAATCCCAGCTACTCAGGAGGCTGAGGCAGGAGAATTGCCTGAACCCAGGAGGCGGAGGTTGCGGTGAGCCGAGATCGTGCCATTGCACTCCAGGCTGGGTAACAAGAGCAAAACTCCGTCTCAAAAAAAATATATATATAAATTAGCCAGGTGCGGTGGCACGTGCCTGTAATCCCAGCTACTCAAGAGGCTGAGGCAGGAGAATTGCTTCAACCCAGGAAGCAGAGTTTGCAGCAAGCCAAGATTGCGCCACTGTACTCCAGCCTGGGTGACAGAGCAAGACTCTGTCTTAGGAAAAGAAAAATTATTTAAGATAAAGCAAATACAGAATTATGAGTACATATTAGTCTCTAGAAGCTATGTGTTTTGAAACAGTAAAAAAAGAAAAAGACAAAAAATCGTAGGGAGCTGAAAAGCAGACTGATTTCCTCATATCTCCTTGCAAGGAGTCAACTGATAGCCTAAATTCGAAACAGAGAGTTAAACATAACTCCCACCATCTTAGTGTTTCTGTGTTTCTGAGTTTAATGTTTCTTCTCTTCTCTTTTTTTTTTTTTTTTTTTTTTTTGAGACAGGGTCTTACTTCTGTTGCCCAGGCTGGAATGCAGTGGCTCGATCAGGGCTCACTGTAGCCTCAACTTCCTGCATCAAATGATCCTCCCACAGCCTCCTGAGTAGCTGGGACTATACGCACATGTTACCAGGCCTGGCTAAGTTTGGTATTCTTTTGCAGAGATTGGGTTTCACCATGTTGCCCAGGCTGGTCTCAAACACCTGGGCCCAAGTGATCTACTGGCTTCAGCCTCCCAAATTACTGGGGCATGAGCCACAGTATGGAGCCTACTAACTTTGATTTTAGGTATATCTTTTTTTTTTTTTTTTTTTTGAGACGGAGTTTCACTCTTGTTACCCAGGCTGGAGTGCAATGGCGCCATCTTGGCTCACCGCAACCTCCGCCTCCTGGGATCAGGCAATTCTCCTGCCTCAGCCTCCCGAGTAGCTGGGATACAGGCACGTGCCACCATGCCCAGCTAATTTTTTGTATTTTTAGTAGAGACGGGGTTTCACCATGTTGACCAGGATGGTCTCGATCTCTCGACCTTGTGATCCACCCGCCTTGGCCTTCCAAAGTGCTGGGATTACAAGCTTGAGCCACCGCGCCCGGCCGATTTTAGGTGTATCTTTTAGGAAGCAATATCGCATGGCAAAATAATGTTTATCATTCAGTAGTTACTTTAGTTTCATTTCAGTTTTTCTTGTTAAATTGAAGCAAAATACAGTTTTATGTTTTTAACTAAAATGCCACGTGTTTCTCCATCAGATAAAATATGTCTGTCATTTAACCTACATACTCCCATGGAAAAATGTCCGGAGTAAAATTTTGTTTTTTAAATATAGAGCACTCCTGACCTCAGGTGATATCCATCTCGGCCTCCCAAAGGGCTGGGATTACAGGCATCAGCCACCGTGCCCGGCCTGGAGTAAAAATTTTTTTTTTTTTTAGGCGGAGTTTCACTCTTGTTACCCAGGCTGGAGTGTAATGGCACGATCTCGGCTCACCGCAACCTCCGCCTCCTGGGTTCAGGCAATTCTCCTGCCTCAGCCTCCTGAGTAGCTGGCACTACAGGCATGCACCACCATGCCCAGCTAATTTTTTGTATTTTTAGTAGGGACGGGGTTTTCACAATGTTGACCAGGATGATCTCGATCTCTTGACCTTGTGATCCACCCGCCTCGGCCTCCCAGAGTGCTGGGATTACAGGCGTGAGCCACCATGCCTGGCCCTGGAGTAAAATTCTTAATGGTCATAATAGTTACTTTGGGGTCATGGAATTTGGGCTGGTTTTTATTCTTCGGTATTTACTGCATTTATTTTGAAAAATGAGCACGCGGCCAGGAGTGGTGGCTCATGCCTGTAATCCCAGCACTTTGGGAGGCCGAGGCATGTGGATCACAAAGCTAGGAGTTCAAGACCAGCCTGGCCAATACAGCGAAACCCTGTCTCTACTAAAAATATAAAAATTAGCCAGGTGTGGTGCCACATGCCTGTAGTCCCAGCTACTTGGGAGGCTGAGGCAGAAGAATTGCTTGAACCTGGTAGACAGAGGTGGCAGTGAGCCAAGATCAGGCCACTGCACTCCAACCTGGGCAACAGAGTGAGATTCTGTCACAAAAAAAAAAAAAAAAAAAAAAAAAGAGCATGCATCTTTTTGCCAAAAGTGCTGAAGTCATTATTATTATTATTATTTTTTGAGACGGAGTTTCGCTCTTGTTACCCAGGCTGGAGTGCAATGGCGCGAACTCGGCTCACCGCAACCTCCGCCTCCTGGGTTCAGGCAATTCTCCTGCCTCAGCCTCCTGAGTAGCTGGGATTACAGGCACGCACCACCATGCCCAGCTCATTTTTTGTATTTTTAGTAGAGACGGGGTTTCACCATGTTGACCAGGTTGGTCTCGATCTCTCGACCTCGTGATCCACCCGCCTCGGCCTCCCAAAGTGCTGGGATTACAGGCTTGAGCCACCGCGCCCAGCCCTGAAGTCATTATTATTATTAGTAGTAGTAGTAGTAGAGAAAAGGTTTCACTGTACTGGTCAGGTTGGTCTCAAACTCCTGACCTCAGGTGATCCGCCCACCTCAGCATCCCAAAGTGCTAGGATTACAGGCGTGAGCCACTGAGCCCAGCTCTAAGTCATTATTTTGTAAAAATACAGGCAGTAGGGGACCGGGCACAGTGGCTCATTCCTATAATCCTAGCACTTTGGGAGGTCAAGGCGGGAGGATCACCTGAGGTCAGCAGTTCAAGAGCAGCCTGGCCAACATGGCAAAACCCTATGTCTATTGAAAATACAAAAAAATTAGCCAGCTGTAGTAGTGTGCGCCTGTAGTCCCTGCTACTTGGGAGGCTGAGGCAGGAGAATTGCTTAAACCTGTGAGGAACCTGTGAGGTAGAGGCTGCAGTGAGTGAAGGTCACGCCACTGCACTCCAGCATGGATGATACAGCAAGACTCCGTTTCAAAAGGAAAAATACTGGCAATATTAGTTGTTTTTTGTTTGTTTGTTTGTTTGTTTGTTTGAGAAGGAGTCTTGTTCTGTAGCCAGGCTGGAGTGCAGTGGCGCAATCTCGGCTCACCGCAACCTCTGCCTCTTGGGTTCAAGCGATTCTTTTGCCTCAGCCTCCCGAGTAGCTGGGATTACAGGCACGCACCATCACGCCCGGCTAATTTTTGTATTTTTAGTAGAGACGGGGTTTCACCATGTTGACCAGGATGATCTCGATCTCTTGACCTCGTAATCCACCCGCACCCGCCTCGGCCTCCCAAAGTGCTGGGATTACAGGCGTGAGCCACCGAGCCAGGCCTGTGGCATCACTTACAGTAAAGAAAACCTGGTAGCAACTTACCCAGCAATGGTTGGTTACAGAAATTATTATACTGTCATTAGAATAATCATAATTACGTAGCGATACAGAAACTGTTGGTGATACAATATTGAGTAAAAAAGGAAATTTCGTATGTTGTAATTGGAAACATGTAAAAGTATGTACACATATGGGAAAACACCTAAAGTCGTCATAATTAGGTGAGGACTGTGGAATTGAGTCCCTTTAAAACATTTTTTTCCTGTTTTTCAAGCTTTCTGTAATTTTGATGTAGTTTATTAAAATGAGGGAATTAGACGGTACGAGCAGGAGCCCAGCGCCCGGCGTGGAGGTGGCGGAGTCTTTCGGGCAGGGCTCAGAAGACGGTGGCGGGGTCCCCTTCGCGCTCCGGGGGGCTGGGTGGCCTTGGCTGCGGGCTCTGCGGGGGACGCGGCCCTGGGGACACCACTGGAAAGTCGCGCGCTTCTCGGCGCTGGAAACTTACCCCGGCGTCTGGCATTTCCATGTGCGAAATATGGGGGCCCCGGGAGCCCAGCGCCTCCCCTGACCCCGGCCGGCGCCCGCGCCCCTCCCCCACGAGCCTCCCGGTCCCCCTCACCTGCGCGCGCCTCCCGGTCCCCCTCCCCCGCGCGCGCCTCCCGGTCCCCCTCCCCCGCCCGCCTCCCGGTCCTCCTCCCCCGCGCGCGCCTCCCGGTCCCCCTCCCCCGCGCGCCTCCCGGTCCCCCTCACCTGCGCGCGCCTCCCGGTCCCCCTCCCCCGCGCGCGCCTCCCGGTCCTCCTCCCCCGCGCGCACCTCCCGGTCTCCCTCCCCCGCGCGCGCCTCCCGGTCCCCCTCCCCCGCGCGCGCCTCCCGGTCCCCCTCCCCCGCGCGCCTCCCGGTCCCCCTCAGCCGCGGGGCGTGGCGCGCAGGCGCAGGCGCGGAGGCCGGGCGGGCGCGCGCGGGCGGAATGGGGACTGCAGCTGCGGCGGCGGCGGCGGCCGGGGAGGGGGCGCGCAGCCCGAGCCCCGCCGCCGTGTCGCTCGGCCTGGGCGTGGCCGTGGTGTCGAGCTTGGTGAACGGGTCCACGTTCGTGCTGCAGAAGAAGGGCATCGTGCGCGCCAAGCGGCGAGGTAGGGCGGGCGGGCGTGTGGGGGAGGCGGGCGCCGCTGGGGGCGCTGGGGCCGGCCGGGTCGGGTCGGGTCTGGGGCGCGGGCTGCGCGGGCGGGTGCCCCCCGGGAGTCCTGGCGCTGGGGCCTCCGGAGCGGCCCGGGCATCACAGGTGCGTCCTGAGCGTCCGGCTCTCCTCCGTTCCCGGCGGCTGGAGCGGCCTGCGCAGTGCGCGTTTCCCCGCCGACTTTTTCCCTCGGCCCGGCCCCGGGGCCGGCAGTCTCCGGCGGACGGGTTCCTGGGGTGCTGGTGCGCGGCCAGTTCCTGGGGTGCGCTCGGGAGAGCGAGACCTGGGGTGTCCGCGCCCGCTGCGGCCACGCGGGTGCAGGGAGGAGGACCCGGCGGGCCTCAGGGCGCTGCGTTCCCGCGTGGGTGCTGGACGGTGCCCGCTGCGGTTACACCCGCACCAGGTGACTCCAGCGACCGTCAGTGTGGACAACGCGCGGGCCGACCCTGCACCACCTGGGGGGCCGAGCTCTGCCGGGGCGTCTGTGCTGGGAGGTTCGGGACCGCCGCTTTCGCCGACGCAGGATGTGGCCGGCTGTGAACTAGTCCGCTTCCAGAGAGACAGAGTCTGTGGTTCTTGGCTGCCTTCTCAGACGAAGGCTCTTAAGAGCTCCCTGGGAAGGCTGTGGCCGCTGGGTCACGGGTTGTCAGAAAAAGTAAACTCATTTCCTAGTTGACATTCCGGAACGCAGGTGAAACTTTGCCTGAGCAAGCCAGGCGTGCCTGCGGACAGGAGGTAAAGGGCCCGACCCGACAGGCTCAAATGAAAATATAAAATCATGGACAGTTTAAGGTATTCATCTTTGAGGTGAAAGCAGGTCTTCCCACAAATTTTAATTTAACGGAATTAAATAAAACCAAGCATGATTTCCCAAGGACGTAGATGTGTCTGTCCCTAAGGCACACACACACACACACCCCCCACAGCCACGCTTCAGGGAGCACCTGTCCGCGCGCCAGGCCTCAAGACTGAGTGAGATGGTCCGCCCGCGCGGCCTTACAGGTAGGACAGCCCGAGAAAGGCGGTCACTTGCCCAGTCCGCGGCCGTAGGATGCGCGTGAGGAAAAGACACAAACCCAAGTGAGTAGAAGCACATCTTGTGATGCACCTGACCGGTCCTCTCTGAAGGTCATGGAGTCCGGAAGCCGGGCACACCAGAAGGAGCCCAAGGACACATGAACACCAAATGTAAGACTTTATGGGAAAACCAAGGAAATCTGAAGATGGGCTTTAGTTAGCTTTCTAAAAAATTGAGTAAAACTGCGTGCGTATTTCATCCCAGCTCACATGGTTCAAAGAAATTGGTAAATAAGAAAATAAACAGATCAGCCTTTTAAACAAACATGATAGATGCTGTTTCTTATAGCTACATACTATGCTTTTATTTATTAATTGAATTTTTTCTTTTTTTGAGACGGAGTTTCGCTCTTGTTACTCAGGCTGGAGTGCAATGGCACGATCTTGGCTCACGGCAACCTCTGCTTCCTGGGTTCAGGTAATTCTCCTGCCTCAGCCTCCTGAGTAGCTGGGATTACAGGCACGTGCCACCATGCCCAGCTAATTTTTTGTATTTTTTTTTTTAGTAGAGATGGGGTTTCACCATGTTGACCAGGATGGTCTCGATCTCTTGACCTCGTGATCCACCTGCCTCGGCCTCCACAAGTGCTGGGATTACAGGCTTGAACCACCGCGCCCCGCCTAAAATTTTGTTTTTGACACGGAGTCTCAGTCTATCACCCAGGCCTGGAGTGCAATGGCGCGATCTCAGCTCACTGCAACCTCCACCTCCCAGGTTCAAGTCATTCTCCTGCCTCCGCCTCCCGAGTAGCTGGGATTATAGGCGTCCACCACCATGCTTAGCTAATTTTTGTATTTTTGGTAGAGATGTGTTTCACCATGTTGGCCAGGCTGGTCTCGAACCCCTGACCTCAGGTGATCAGCCTACCTCGGCTTCCCAAAGTGCTGGGATTACAGGCATGAGCCACCACAGCCGACCTTTATTATTACTATTTTTAAACTCCAGATGTTGCATGGTGTTAGGCTTTATGCTTACCACTCTCGAGAGCCTCCTGTCCAGGAGGTCATTAGGGCCTCAGTTCTACCTGGTGCGGACCTGAGGTCCTTCCCATCCCTGTGAGCCATCCGTCAGGGTGAGCTAAGAGAGCAGCCAGTGGGGCACAGTCACTTATGGCTGAGAGGCATTGTTCTGGGATTTGGTTAGTAAATAGGAGAGAAAAGGAGAAGACAACATGTACGGGGTAGTTGAATGCCTCCTGCTAAGGAGGGCGGGATATGGAGGTGTCTGACACCAGGGAACAGGCTCCATTCCCTCGAGGCACCAAAGTATTGGTGATTCTCCCGGTAGGTGGCAAATCCACAGGGACTGCAGCAACCTCAATTTTCACTTCCTCAGAAGAAAGAATTTGACTGAGGGGCATAAAGTGGAACTTAGGCAAATTTTAGAGCAGGAATGAATTTTTTTTTTTTTTTTTTTTTTTTTTTTTTTTGGAGACAGAGTCTAGCTCTGTCGCCCAGGAGTGCAGTGGCACAATCTTGGCTCACTGCAGCTTCCTCCTTCCAGGCTCAAGCAGTTCTCCTGCCTCAGCCTCCCAAGTAGTTGGGATTACAGGCACACACTACCATGTCCAGCTAATTTTTGTATTTTAGTAGAGATGGGGTTTCACTATGTTGGCCAGGCTGGTCTTGAACTGCTGACCTCAGGTGATCCGCCCGCCTTGGCCTCCCAAAGTGGGATTATAGGCGTGAGCCACCACACGCAGCCACAAGGTTATTAAAAAGCTTTAGAACAGGAATGAAAGAAAGTAAAGTACACTTGGAAGAGGGCTAAGCAGGCAACTTGAGCAACAAAGTGCCTTCATTAATTACATGCTTCCCCAGCAGCCACCCGGTGCCGTGGATTCAGGCCAGCTGGGTTACTCACGGTGGTAGAAGATAGACGTAGTCTTCTTTCAACGTCTGCTTTGAATTGCTGAACAGATACTAATGAAGCTCTTAAAATGCACCAGGCATTGCATAGGTGTTGAGAATACAGCAGTTTTAAAATCTGCTCGCCATAAAATCCTTTTCTACATCTGTTACAAGCAGCAGAATTGACCAGTATGAAGTGACAGAAACAGAGGATGAGAGAGGACAGGGGAGACCATACACAAGAACCAGAGAGTGAAGTTCTTGCTTTAAGGGAGACCTAGCTTGATGGTTTCTGATGCTGGAGAAAGTTGTGTCTTACTGAAATTTTAAGCTTTAAAAATTTTTTTTTTTTTTTGGGACAGAGTTTCGCTCTTGTTACCCAGGCTGGAGTGCAATGGCGCGATCTCCGCTCACCGCAACCTCCGCCTCCTGGGTTCAAGCAATTCTCCTGCCTCAGCCTCCTGAGTAGCTGGGATTACAGGCACGCGCCACCATGCCCAGCTAATTTTTTGTATTTTTAGTAGAGACGGGGTTTCACCACATTGACCAGGATGGTTTCGATCTCTCGACCTCGTGATCCACCCGCCTCAGCCTCCCAAAGTGCTGGGATTATAGGCTTGAGCCACCGCGCCCGGCAGCTTTAAAATTAAAAAAAAATTTTTTGGTGGATTTAAGGGTACAAATGCAGTTATGTTATGTGGATATACCGCACAGTGGTGAAGTCTGGGCCTTTAGTGTCACGTCACCTGAAGGTAACATTTCATCCCTCCCACCCGTCCCCTCAGGCTAAGCCAGCTAGCCTGAATCCGTGGCACCGAGTGGTCACTGGGGAAGTAGGAAATTAATGAAGGCACTTGATCGCTCAAGTTGCCTGCTCGGCCCTCTTCCAAGTGTCCTTTACTTACTTCCATTCCTGTTCATTTGGCGTTTCCAGTGTGTTAATTCCACTCTGTATGTCTGAAAGTCAAAAACCACATGTTCTCACTTGTAAGTGGGAGCTAAACAATGAAAGTTCAAACTTTACATGAATTTCCAGGTGGCAGCATTTCTAGATGTGAGATTCGAGAGAGTCTCATCTTCACGGGAGCCAAGTTTTGGTCACGGTCCTTCTACTGAGGGGTTTGAGGCACGGCTTCCTCTTTCATTTTTAGAGGAACTTCCCAGAGAATCACAGTACATCTCCCAGTAGGCCAGGGAGCATGCTGTAAGCACAGGCTCGGGTGGGACCACCTGGCTCTTTGCCATGCCTTTGGATGACATGCTGTGGGAAGTGGGCAGGGAGGCAGGTGGGTCGTGTTCGATGTCAGAGACTCACTGAAGCAGGGCTTATGGAAGAGAAACACAGGTGTGAAGACATTTGTGGAAAGCCCATGGCAACTTTAGAATAGCAGTGCCTTCACCCAGGAGGTGCCACAGAGGCTAGGTGTGCCTGGGTGGGTGAGGATGGGTCCAAAGTCAGGCTGCACAAGACGGCTGCCATTGAAGGGTTTGAAAGGCTGCCCTGTGACAGGCTTCCAGGTGACAGTCTGAGGAAAGTTGTGTGTTTTAGAATTTGCTAAACGCTTTAAGAACTGGGTGTGGCCAGGCACGGTGGCTCACACCTGTAATCCCAGCACTTTGAGGCCAAGGTGGGAGGATCACCTGAGGTCAGGAGTTGAGACCAGCCTGGCCAACATAGTGAAAATACAGAAATTGGCCGGGCGCGGTGGCTCACGCCTGTAATCCCAGCACTTTGGGAGGCCGAGGCGGGTGGATCACGAGGTCGAGAGATCGAGACCATCCTGGTCAACATGGTGAAACCCTGTCTCTACTAAAAATACAAAAAATTAGCTGGGCGTGGTGGCGTGTGCCTGTAATCCCAGCTACTCAGGAGGCTGAGGCAGGAGAATTGCCTGAGCCCAGGAGGCGGAGGTTGCGGTGAGCCGAGATCGCGCCATTGCACTCCAGCCTGGGCAACAAGAGCGAAACTCCATCTCAAAAAAAAAAGAAAGAAAGAAAGAAATGCTGGGCGCCGTGGCTCACGCCTGT